GCGCCCTGGGTTCAAACCCCAGTCCAGCCTCTCGTGACCTCGGGCAAGTCACGTCCCCTTTTCCTCAGGTACGGAACAGCAAAGTTAATGGGACTTTTGTAAAGGCGAACGCACAGCGTCCGGCACGTGCTCTGCAGCAGCCGAGTGCGTGGCCTCCCGCCGTCCGCCATCGAATGCGGGGAGTGGGCAAGAGAACCGTGACCCCAGGTGGGCGGAGCTGGGAGCCGCTGCTCCTCTGCCTGGACGTGGTCTTTCTAATTGGACCGGTGCTTCCCAGGCCCCGGGGGCCAGGACAAAGCAGGGGGCCGTCCTGGGCTGGGACGACCACCTGCAGCAAGGAGTCTACAGCCTGATGGAGCCGGCGAACTTCCGCGAGCGGCATCGGCGTGCCTGTGCGCACCACGTCACCTTTCTATCCGTCCTAGACCTGGTCCACTATGGTCCTTTGGTGTCTGTGACAGGAAATTCAGGCTTCTTGACTTGACGGGGGAAAAACGGGAGGGCTGAAAGGTGACCCCGTAAAGCTGGCCCATGGCGGGGCTGAAGCCATCCAGAAACAGACGAACGTGTCAGCGCTGGTGTACGGCGGAAGCGAGGTGTGTTCGCTAACCCGTCAGCAAGCCGCACGTCCTCTGGATGACGACCCTGACACCGAGGGCCTTTGCCGGCTGTCATGGCCTCTCTTGCTCTGCTCAGCTGGACGCCCTTCCCCCTCCCCATCCCCTACAGGGCAGCGGTGACAGCTTCCAGGACTCTCGATTCACAGGTTTTAAGCCCACACATCCCCAGCACAGCCTCCATGCCCCTCCCAGGAGACGGGGGACAAGAGCTGCACTTTGCAGTGCCCGGGGGAGGGGTGGTGCCCCTGCTCTGTCCACATCTGTGCCGAGGAGACATGGAGCGGGCACTTGTCCACACACCTCACCCGCGTCCCTTCCCTCAAGTGTGAGTCTGCAGTGTGGCTTGGAGCCCTCGGCCAGCGAGAAGCTCCCTGCCCCGGCCGGCAAAGCAGCGGGGAGCCCACCTCAGCTGACTGACATGCCA